CCCTTGAAACTAGACTAGAAGCAAGAAAGGAATTAACAAGAGTGAAGAAGCCTTCACTCTTGTCTCTATATATACTATCTAACTAGGGGCTACGTGGCGACGTTCTATAGGACCTCCAATATGTGTTGACTTTGTAAGACACATGCCTTGACTTACAAGGTAAGTTCTTCTACGTGTGGGCCACATAGTTAGCTTGATCTTCGAGCTAACAACATGTGTGGCACATGGCCAACTTGTTGACCACGTTTCTAATCCAAAAAGTCAATTAAAGACACCTATGAAGTCAAAGCAACATTTTTGAAGCTTCTAGGAAGCTTTCATATTAAATACTATAGAATTTACTTATTTTTACCTATTTTTACTTACTTCTACCTATTTATATATGTAATTACTAGCTTACATGATTATGTCCGTGACGCATAAATAACAAAAGACGATCCTTCTTTAGTAGCATGCAAAAAAACTTTTACACCTACAAGTACAAGTTTGGTTATATTAGACTCATGTCTTTTTATTGGATTAGAAAAACTCTTAATGATGTTTGAAAAAAAGTCAAGTTTACAAGAAATCCAATCTATCACAGGATTATACTTTTCTAGCCACGATAAATCTAAAATGACTGGATTAGAAGGAGATCTAATTATATTAAAAATTATGCTGTCGTGTTGTAACACAAGTACACCATGAAAATATAAAGAAAGGAGACTTTTATTAATGTTTAGTTACCTCGAATATTGGGAGCAACGACCAATTCCAGTGCAAATACTGAGAGGCTAGGTTCAGTCACCCCGTTACAATTAGCAGGGGCATATTGAAATGCTCCGTTCGATTCCAATAATGGGAGTCAGCAGAAAGGGAAAGGACCAATTCAAAGACGGGTGAGCCTGGTTCGAAGAGCCAATTGGATCCAATTTCAAGACATCCAATCCAGGTCCTATTACAGGCTTCTTATCCAATATAAGACCTGACTTGGTCGGGCAACCCAATGCGGTCCAATTATGAGACCATCCAGGTCTTACTACGGGCCTCAGCCAATCTGACGCGAAGGACCAATTTGATCCAATTACGAGAATATCCAGGTCTTACTACGGGCCTCTTAGCCAATATGAGACCTGAATTGGTCGGGCGACTCAATGTGGTCCCGATTATGAGGGTTTCGATTCCGTTTCAGGTTGTTCTGTTCTTTGTACCATTTCGAGAATGTCCTTTTAGTAAAAGGATCTCTTACAGGTAAAAATGGAGGAGAAAGCTCTGACGGCGGAGCCAATTCCAAATGTAAGATGGAAGATTGAAGAAATTCAGAGGTTAGGGTTTGAAAGAGGAGAGAATTAGAATTAAAAGAGAGCATAGGTTAAGAAATGAAGGGGAGGAATAAGGTTTTTCTTGAAGGATCGGAGAGCTAGCTTCATGCTTTGGGGTGGAAAAAAAAGACAGAGAATTGGGGTTTTTTTTCATAGGGTTTTGGGAAGACAAAGGCAAGCGTTACTGAAGTGAGTGTTGTACTGGTGAATCGGGGTTTTAATGAAGTGGGTGTGATTATTCTTGACTGTTTTGTGAAATCGAAGTTACGTCTGTGATTGAAGAATTAAAAGGGTGTCTATAGGATTGAGTATGCGGAGTGAAAGAAAATTTTTGAGTTAATCTAACAAGACAGTCAGTAGATACAAGGTTGTGAGTATAAAGCGTTATTGGAGATTAGCAGATTGGGTTGTTCAGGGTTCTCTGTAGCATCTAGAGTCCTACCGGCTGGGACAAAAGAGACTTTGGCGAGCAGTCGAAGGACATCCTTATAGATTTACGATATATTCTTGCAGTCGTTTATATTCCAACAGTCAAAAATCGATAGACTGCTTGAATATTAACGAATCTCCATACTACCTTCTATAGCCAAACGCCCGACGCATTCTCGAGCAGGAAAGCATGTAAAACGACAACGTGACTATTATGACGATTAATTATTATATCTATAGGAAGTGTTTCATGAGTAACATCTCTAAAAGATAGTAGATGATTGCCTATGACTTCTACATGTATGCGTTTAATTTTTTGTATTAATTATATATTATGGCTTTTAACAAATTCTTCATCTAAAAAACAAGCAGAGACTCTTGAATTTATTAAGACAAAGGCTTTGTGGTTATTAGATCCTAAACGTATATCTATTGTAAAACAAGGAGAGGATTTTTAGGAGAGAATAGGACCTTCATTAGAAATTATACAAGATCCTAACCGAAGGGTCCCTATTATAGCTAGCTAAATTTATTTTCCAATATATTTTCATCTTTGATAGTAGTACTTCTCATTTTGTAGTTGCATCATTTCTTTGGATAATATTGAATAGTATAGTTAGTTTTTCTACAATATAAAATATAGTCCTTCTTCATGACAATTAGTCTTTTCTTGTTTGATAAGAGGTTTAAAATGCACTACATCAATTTGCATCTCTTCTACTTTCAAATGCTTAGATTGAAAAGTCATTGATATCATCATTGAATTTTAATAACATTGAGGTTCTCTTGTACAATTCTCATATCAAAACATAAAAAGTCGATTGTCACATTTTATAATAAAGTCAATTGCTTGACTCAATATTTGAGGATTAAGTAAATGGAGCATCAATTTCTTTACTTCATATTATAATCTATAGAGAAATTGGCTGATGAGTGGTACATCATCCTACTTGGTATTTATCACTAATTATCAAAATTAGAAAGCATATAATATCACTGATCGATTGCTTTATCATAAGACACAAATCTTATTGGTTACAATACGGATTGTATCATATTCTCCATACATAGATTAAAACTCTACTAAGAATGCTTCTAAATTATCCAATATTGGATCACGTCATTCAAAAAATAATAAAAACCATAATAAAGTAGAACCTAAAAGTAATATTTCAATAAACTTGACTTATGATCCTTGAGTTGGATAACATTGAGGTTGTAGTTCAATCACCAATTGTACCTGATTTATGAATCCTCAAAATTTAGATCTTTTGCTATCAAACTTCTTATGGAATTCAATTTTTGGTTCTTTGAAACTTAAACAATATTTCGTTGTAGAAGCAATAATATGGTTTAGTGTAGATGTTGAAGCAACTCCAATCATCTCTATATCTTCATTGCTTGATAATCTTATTGTTCCTTGTAGTTGTAGAGTGAGTTGATGCATTGCAAGCATTAATTCTCTCATTTTTTCTTGCATTTGAGCTATTGCACTCTTCATTTCAGCAAGCTCTGCCATGCTAGCACAATAAAAAGAAAGGTGTCTATTCTCACAAAATATAATACTTAAAAATCAAGAAAAAAATTACTAGAAATAATATCAATTTAGAAGAGGGTAATCTGCAACTTCTAATATACTTATGTTTTATGAAGAGAATGGAGTAATCAATTTTTAATCAAGAAAAGACAAAGCTCTGATATTGTATGTGTACTCTTGTCAAACTGGAAGAAGATGCATAAAGTCTTGAAATCTCTATCAAGAAAAAATTGACAAAATGGAAGAAAGTATGTATATTCAAGGATGAACTAGAATGACTATTATCAAAGATTAGAAAACATAAGACTCTTGAAACTAGACTAAAAAACAAGTAAGGAATTGACAAGAGTGAGGAAGGCCTCATTCTTGCCTCTATATATACTACTTAATTAAGGAATATGTGGTAATATGCTATACAACCTCTATAAGACATAATACGCATCCAACTTATAAGACACATGTCTAATTTGCAAAGCAAGTTTTTTAAGTGTGCACCATATGTCCAATTTGTACTACAAGTGGTCAACATGTTGACACATTGCCTCCTTGTTGGCCAAGTTTCAACCTACCAATCACCTATAGACATGTATAAAAGCAAAACAATGTCTATGAAGCTTCTAGGAAGCTTTCTACAAGATATTATCATATTTATCTACTTTGACTTACTTCTACCTATATTTATTATCTAGATAATTATTAAGATAAATATGTATGTCCGTGACATTCAACCCCGTTCTTATTCCACATCTCCCATTTCCAACCATAGTCCCTATCCTCAATCCCACCACCTTATCTTGATTCCACATTTGTTTTTATCTTCTCCAATTCCACTCCATGTCTTGATTTCACTCGTCTTCAATTTATTATAAGTACATATAATCAAAAATAAATATTTAACTATTTATATATAATTAATCACTAAATTAAAATATAAAACATATAAAATTATTTATTTTTATATATGTGTATTTTATTAAAAAATATTAATAACATGTAATTTATATTTTAGTAAAAAATAATAAATTTTATAAAAGAATAATAAATTTTATTACTATATTTTATTATTTTAAGATGTTAATTTCACTTTCACCTATTTGATACTTAAGTCTATTTTTTTTGGATTACAAAGAATATTTTATCATAATAATAAAATTTAAACATATATATATATATATATATATATATATAATAAAGTAAATCAAGTTTATTGATTAGGTGAATTATAACAATAATATTAAGATTTGAAATTAGAATTGCTTATGTACTCGTTTGGATAAAAATATTTATTTGGATAGTTTTGATTCTACTAAAAATGAATAGGTTGTAGCTACAATTGTTACTATCATTACAAACTCTTTTATGCACATAATTTTAATAAATAGATTTAATCCATATACAAAACTAGAACTTCTTTTTGTTTATCCATTTTTTTAAAGAAAGAGACAAAAAAAAGAAAACAAAAGTATTTTTATTTTATTTTATTTTATTTTTTTGTTGTATTAGGCATTATTCTACACGCATAGGCGTTTAGATTAGTCCTGGATTTAGCAACTAACTATGTGACGGAAATTGACCAAGCAATCTTCATCAAATGTAGATTTTAGGATCATGCCCAAGATGTTAGTTTCTGCAGAAGACAAAGGCACGGTTGAAGATGGGACTCAGCGACCGAAAACCGCGTCCGAGACTCGGGGGGGGGGGGGGGGGGGGGGGTTTGCTAAGCCGCAGGAGGAATGGGGTCATTGCTCGAGCTTTCTGCTCCCTCGGTCTTCGTCGTCTGCTGCTTCCTCCGTCTTCGGTTCAGTGATACAGAGCTCCATCTCCCTCTTCACCGCCTCACTCTTCAAGGGTGCAGGGTTTCGCCGTGTACTCCTTCAGGAAAATCATCTGACGAGCAAGGCTTTCAACTGAGGTGCGTCATCCTTCATTTTTCCGGCTTACAAGCGCGCCCTCAAAATATTGTTTGTGCGCGTGCAGGTGTGGTGTTTTTATGTTGTGGTGGAGTTATTTCGAAATTGTCGGGCAAAGATAAGCGCCGGAAGAAGGAATAAAAAGAACTTGGAAGGCTTTGTACGGTATGCTTGTCAGAGCTGTGAGCGTTATGGTGCGCTGTCGGTTTGCCTGTTAGGTTCTCCTCTGAGAGGGTTTCCTTTTTGGTGACGGAGGTCGTGGTTTCAGATAGCTTGCGGAGGAAGGATCGTTGTTTGATTTGAAGGATTTGGAGATTGAAGCAGAAGTTCGGATTCCTGTTTTTGCACTTATTTTTGGATTTTGTGTATGGCGGTGGACAACCTGTCCTGCGTGATCTGCCGCTGTTGCAGCAGCTCTTGCAGCGGCAACTCTATATTCCGCTCTCCTCGTCACGCTAGCTAAACATTAACCGTTCGAGTGCACCGGAGGCTGTGTTTGACTCTTCCTTGGGTGATGAAGGCATTGTTCCAGCCATCTGATATATGCATACAATCTGGGCTTATTCTGCATGGTAGCTTGAGTGTCGTGGTGGTGGAGTTAAGGTGTGATAGCCAGATAATAGTCTTCGTTTTCATGTTCCCCCTGGTGGTATCAGCTAAGTAAGTTGTGCTGGGGTACGTAAGATCGACATTCTGGTTTCTGCGTTGCTGTGAATATGTTTCTGCTTCCAAGTGTGGTTTCAGTTTCTTTCCCTCCCACGTGGTTGGAATCGCCATCGGTGGTAGTTGGTCCCACTGACTGTTTCGATACTCTGGTCACTGTGTGCAGGGTCTGCGAATCCTTCAAACCCACATCAGGAGCGCGTCACCCCCTTGGCGATGATTTACTTTTCCGACAGCGCCAAGATTTGCTCTTCTGAGTGTTTACACGGCATTGGTCCTTCGACACTGCACACTTCTGTGGCTGATTTGTAAGCGTACGTACGCAGCTGTGCCCACTCTCAAACTCTTCAAACGTGCTCTCTCTCTTCACTGTTATGACAGCGCTTCCGGGCTGCTGCATACCAGAGAGATTGAAGGCCGTGGCCAACCTCTTTCCAACAAGATCTACACTTTTTCCCCGTGAAAAGCTTCAGCCTGCGCGGTAAGCTGGGACAGTGAGCTGTCCCTTGTGATCACTCTTTTCTGTCAAGCTTCAATCTATCGACGTTTACCTGTGGATACTTCGCTCCTATCCACATGCACCTGTGCAGTGAGGTCCAGGTCGCGGAAGTACAACGCTAAGCCGTCGAGTCTGTCGGTTCACATTACTATTTGAGGTCAGCCAACTTCCTCCCTCGTCTCGTGTTCCGTAGTCCCTGAGTTCCTCTGTTGGAACAAGCCAAACCCCATTGGATGTTGTCGAACCTTTTAGGACTGTGCCTGCCTCTCTTCTGTCCTGTCCATTCTTTTATATGACACTTATTTCTGCACTGTCAACCTCTGAATTCTTCTCCGAGTTGATCAGTTTATGCCGACGCTCAACTACAATGATTTCCCTAATCTGTTGTTTCAAGCAGTCAATGACAGTGGTCTAGCGTGGCATGTGAGGTTGTAGAATTGCCAGCTTTTGTGTGCCCAGGAGTTAGTGGGGTTGTACTTCATGTCGTAGTCTTCGTTATATGAACTTGTAACTTCTGGCTAGGTTTATGGAGCTCAAAGTATGTGCATGAGAGGTCTTGGTTTAGAGAGTATGATAATGATGAATAGTAGAAAATTATTGTATGATTTTTAGTGCAATTTGTAGGATTGAATATCCTTCTCACAAATACTTGAAGTATTTAGAATTATGAGTTTTAATATATTAGAAAAGTGGATTTTGAACATCATTGAATAGGTATGGTACTTTGACATATTTGAGGATGAAGGTTTGGATCTAATCAAAATATGCATTGATGTAAGATGTACAAATCTTGATTCTTTTGTTTGTCATGTTTAGGTGTCTTGATTGTGCAATTAAAGGATTAGACTTGAATATTTACAAGTGATCTACTATGGCCAATTGTGCATTTGGTTGTATGCAAGGACTTACATCTTCATCAAGAAAAGAAGACAAGAAGGTGCAAAGTATTTATTTGCAATGTGAAACCTTGATGAAAAGAATGGAGGATTTATTGACGATAAAATACATGTTGAATAGAAACCAATGTACTAATTTGTACATGCAACTTGTCCAAGTGATGAAAGTATTTGACAAAGTATTGACTTATGAAGACAACATTGGAAAGATATGGCTCATATTTGTTGAGTTGCATGTTGTGGTGAAAAAAAGTTTTTTATTATTAGAAAATTGTGGAGATAAAAAATGGTGTGAAGCAACTATCTTTCAAATGAAGAACAAAGAAAGTTTTAGAGAAATCCTTTTAGATTTGGTTCTTTGTTGCAATGCGGGAAGTAAAGTCATGACAATGCACTATTCTAAAGAATTTGAAGGCATTGCACGTATTATGTGTAATTTTATATTTGATAAAGTTGAAGAAGATGATGCAAGTCTCTACAAGAGGTTGGTTGATGGAAGCCAAGATGATTGTTTTGAAGAATGTGGATTAATTAAATATTTGTTGCAAAGATGGAAAGACTTGGGTCGCATTGAAGGTGGAGATTTGGATGCTTTGGAGCTTTCAAACAATATTGAAAGCTTAAAAATTGGTGATTGCATAGGTGAAGGTGCAAATGGAGTTGTTTATAGATCGAGGTGGTTTGGAATATTGAGTGCCACAAAGAAAATAGTTGGTATCTTCAAAGAAGATGTTCCTATTGAAGTGGGAATTTTAGCAGCTCTAAGCCATCCCAACCTTGTGAAGTATTTTTTTGCTGCAAAAGTGGACACTAACAAATTTGGTGAGAGGTGCTCTATGGAGGGGAGAAATGAAACTTTGTATTTAGTGACAGAATTGATGGACATGAGTTTGGTTGATATGTTGAAAAAAAAAAAATCAATGGCATTTGGATTTCTCATTGATATTATGTATCAAGTTGCAAAAGGAATGTGTTATTTGCATGACATGCAAATTGCACATCGGGATCTCAAGCCAGACAACATACTTGTGAACTTTAAAATGGAGGAAGTCAAGAACAATGGTGAAGAATGGGTATTTGTCAAAATAAGTGATTTTGGGACCTCTAAAAGCAATGTTGGAAGGACTCCAAAAAGTAAAAGTTGTGACTTTATTTATGGCACACCAAGGTATATGGCTCCAGAAGTATTTGAGAATGAAGATAAGGCAATGAAAACATGTGCTTTTGAAGCAGATGTATTTTCATTTGCAATGACATGTTCAGAGATTCTTTCAAGAAAAAAACCATTTTCTAATATTCATAAACAAAAAGAGTTATGGAAAAAGATAAAAGAAGGAGAAAGACCAGAGTTACCTTCAAATTGTGATGAGTTGATTGAGTTGATTGAAGAATGTTGGAGTTTGAATCCTTCACAACGTCCAAAGTTTGGAGATATTTGTGAAAGACTTGCAAGTTTGAAGACAAAGTTTTTGATTGGATTTTATAAAGATAATGGTCCTTTATTTAGTGGTTCAAAGAGGAAATATGACCAAATTATGAGAAAGAAAGAAACACGTAGTGATGATGAAATGGTAAAGTTTGTGATTATTTATATTTTGTTTATTTGATTGGTTGGTGTAGACATAAAATAGATTCAAGTGGTTGAATGGTATACGTGAAGGGGACATGTATGTATATAACAACATTATAAGAAAACACATGCAATGTGTATGTTTTGGCATAACAATTGTGGTTGTTTATGTAGGTTTGTTTGCAAGAAGATCAGCTACTAGGCAGACAAGAATACTCAAACAAGTTGTTAGAGCTATGCAAAAATGGTGTGAAAGCAATATGTCTTATTGGCATGGGTGGAATAGGCAAGACAACAATGGCAAAGTTTATGTATAATGATGTGAAGGGTATGTATGATGCCTCATGCTTTGTTGAAAACATGCAACGTAGTGAGAATAGCTACACCATTTGTTGCTACATTTTGAAAGAACTCAAGGTTAATCAAATACCAGAGACTTTAGAAGATGCTCAAGTGTTATTGAAATCACACTTGAGGTCAAAGAAAACCATCTTGGTGTTTGATGATGTGAAAGAGCAAAGTAAAATTAGAGACATTGTGCCTATGGATGAGTTTTGTACAAGTAATGGAAGCACTTTGATTGTAACTACACGAAGTTGGAATTGCATGAAAGATTGTTCTATAAAGACTCATAGAGTGGATATTGCAGAACTTGAAGAAGGTGCAAGTTTAGAGTTATTTATTAGTTATTCTCATGGAAAGCAAGTTGAATTGCCAAGAGAACTTGATGATGTAGGTAAAAAGATTGTAAAAGCTTGTAATGGCCTACCTTTGAGTTTGAAAGTTATGGGAGCATTTTTGAGAGGACAAAAGAGAGTACGATGTTGGGAGCGAGCTTTACAAAGGTTAAAAAGAGCAAGAAATGTGGATGGAGATGAAGAAAATAGTGACCATAAGATTTGGACAATATTGAGGATAAGCTTTGACCAATTAAAAGTTAAAGAAAAAGACATATTTTTAGACATTTGTTGTTTCTTTACTAGTGATGTATATCCACATGGGATGTCAAAAGAAAGAGCATTGCGAATATGGACAAATAATGAGAAATTGGGTTTGGAGCAAGATGTGGAGGATACATTGGACACATTGATTAATCATTCTTTGGTGAAAATAGATGAAAATAGAATCATAAGAATGCATGATCATTTACGAGACATGGGTCGAATGATTGTTGAAACAAACAATGCATATAAAGACACAAGAATATGGAAAATGAGCATGGTACAAACAAATGGATTCTCAACAAAGGTACTTGACTTGACACACGTATCAATGAGATGCATACAACTAGGAATAATGATAAATAGTTTGCATGCAATATTTGTGGATATGATATTGTATCATTATTTTGTGAGGAGATATGATAGAATATAGGTAATTATAAGATATTTTGTATTGATGTTGAGTTTATATTGTTATGAGATTATTAAAATAAATAAATAAATAAGTTGAAATACTTAATTTGATTGTATTTCATTGTGTGATAGTTGGAAGGTTTATGTTACAGCAAAAAAGAGAATATCATGCAAAGTAACATTGGAGATGTGAATTATTCTTCATTAAGACTATTGAGCTATACAATTAAGGAATATAAATTGAAAGATTTTATATCGGTATGGAATACATTAATTATATTATTGAAGCAATCATGTAAACTAAAATCACTTATGCTATGTATAGACTTTCCAAGAGCTATGTCTAATGACATAGTGGGCAATTTATACTATCAAATCTTTGACAAAGAAGCTTTGGAAAAGTTGCAAAATCTAACTGTTTTACAATTAAAGAATTGTAAGTTCATAGAAACATTTCCAAACTCAATCTTTTTACCAAATATATTATTGGAACTTGATTTAGAAGGTTGCTCGAATTTAGAAACATTACCAAAAAGTATGCATAACTTAACATTATTAAGGGTCTTGAACTTAAAAAGCTGTACAAAGTTAAAGACACTACCAATCTCAATAGGAAACTTGATTTCTATGCAATGGTTAAGTATTAAAGGATGTGATAGGTTGACATCATTGCCAAAGGAGTTGAACAACCTTAAATCTTTGACAACATTTGATATAAGTGGATGCATGAACTTGACATCATTGCCAAAGGAGTTGGGCAACCTTACAACTTTGACATCATTATATATGAGTGGATGTGCGAACTTGACATCATTGCCAAAGGAGTTGGGCAACCTTACATCTTTGACAACATTTGATATAGAAAGGTGTGAGAACTTGACATCATTGCCAAAGGAGTTGGGCAACCTTACATCTTTGACAAAATTTAATATGAGTCGTTGCAAGAACTTGACATCATTGCCAAAGGAGTTGGGCAACCTTACAACTTTGACAGTATTATATATGAGTGGGTGTGAGAACTTGACATCATTGCCAAAGGAGTTGGGCAACCTTACAACTTTGACATCATTATATATAAGTGGGTGTGAGAACATGACATCATTGCCAAAGGAGTTGGGCAACCTTACATCTTTGACAACATTTTATATGAATCGTTGCAAGAACTTGACATCATTGCCAAAGGAGTTGGTCAACCTTACATCTTTGACATCATTTCATATAAGTGGGTGTGAGAACTTGACATCATTGCCAAAGGAATTAGGCAACCTTACATCTTTGACAACATTTGATATAGAAAGGTGTGAGAACTTGACATCATTACCAAAGGAGTTGGGCAACCTTACATCTTTGACAATATTTAATATGAGTCGTTGCAAGAACTTAACATCATTGCCAGAGGAGTTGGGCAACCTTACATCTTTGACAAAATTTTATATTGAAAGGTGTGAGAACTTGACATCATTGCCAAAGGAGTTGGACAACATTACATCTTTGACATTATTATGTATGAGTGGGTGTGCGAACTTGACATCATTGCCAAAGGAGTTGGGCAACCTTACATCTTTGATATCATTATATATGAGTGGGTGTGCGAACTTGACATCATTGCCAAAGGAGTTGGGCAACCTTACATCTTTGAAAATATTTGATATGAGCTGGTGTGAGAACTTGACATCATTGCCAAAGGAGTTGGGCAACCTTACATCTTTGACATCATTATATATGAGTAGGTGTGCGAACTTGACATCATTGCCAAAGGAGTTGGGCAACCTTACATCTTTGACATCATTTCATATAAGTGGGTGTGAGAACTTGACATCATTGCCAAAGGAGTTGGGCAACCTTACATCTTTGACATCATTTAATATAAGTGGGTATGAGAACTTGACATCATTGCCAAAGGAGTTGGACAACCTAACATCTTTGACATCATTTTATATAGAAAGGTGTGAGAACTTGACATCATTGCCAAAGGTGTTGGGCAACCTTACATCTTTGACATCATTTTATATAGAAAGGTGTGAGAACTTGACATCATTGCCAAAGGAGTTGGGCAACTTTACATCTTTGACAACATTTGATATGATTCGTTGTAAGAACTTGACATCATTGCCAAAGGAGTTGGGCAACCTTACATCTTTGACAATATTTGATATGAGTTGTTGCAAGAATTTGACATCATTGCCAAAGGATTCGCTAATTTTATTTCTGTGATAATCTAAGCTATAAGTTAGTAGTATATCCTAACATCCTTATTATAGGAGTTGGATAATCTTATATCTTTGATAATATTTGATTTAAGTTTGTATTTTACATTGACATCATTGGAAGTAGCATAAATAATGTAAGGTAGCATTTCTTTTGCAATATGCATGAAAATTTTGCACCTGCCAACAAGAATTTATATGTATTAGACTTATAACTTTTTACTTGGATAAAAAAAAATTGAATTATATTATAAAAATATTGGAATTATAAGAAATTGAATCTATTTAAAACTTATATTTTTTTAGTTAGAATAAATATAAAATAATTAGATTAAAAATAGATCACATTTAGAAATGATAATCAAAAAAATACTTTTAAGAATGAATTTAGTTCATATGTAAGCCCTGAATCTTTTTCATCAAAGAAATAAATTAAGAAAGAATATTTTAAAATATAAATAGATCTATAAATCTTATATGAATAAATTCATCAAGATGTTGAGAAGAATATTAATTTAAATAGAATTTAACTTATAGGAATTTTAATCTAATTCTATCAAACTTCTCTAGTATATTAATCTTTAATTTTCTTATACTTGTAGTTGCAAGTCTTTTTAGATTCAATTTTAAGGTTGATTTACTTGTTTCTCTTAGTTGCATAACTTCTTAGCATAGATATTAGACCTCATTTTTAATTTCTTCCATAATTATAGGAATAATACTTCTATGGTTGGCATTGGTATTATATAAATTTTTCATCCTAAAAATATTGAAAAGCTTGTACAGATTTATAATAGTTATAAATCTATTATTACTTTTGCTAATTGTAGCATCTATATTTTTTTCTTTGATTTTTTTAATATACAGCTTTAATAAATCTACAAGTTGAATTAAAAGATAATAATCCACAACCTCTAATATTAAATAAAATTTTCCACAAAGAGAGATATTTTATTCCTCTTAAGAAAATAATCAATAATAAAAAATAAAAAATATTAGTTTAAAGATAAATACTTCACTATTTTTAAACCACAATAAAAAAAAGTGAAATAATTTATTAATTTCTATAAAAAAAAAAGTAATAATAAGAAAATAGTATTCTTAGAAATATATCAAGGATATGAATCACAAAGAATCAAAGGATAAATACACTCTTGTATCATTAAAAAAAATAGATAATCACTCAAAGGTGGTATAATATTGCTAAAGAAAAGAAGACAAGAGTTTCTTGAAATAAGATTAACAAAAAAAAATATATATATATATATTGATAAGAATAAAAAAGGCCTCACTCTTCTATCCATATATATTATTTAACTACAAGTTATGTATCAAGTGATGTTCTACAGGATCTCTAATACACGTCTAACTTGCGGAACACATATCTAATTTGCAAGACAAATTTTTTACATGTACACCACAAAACCTACTTGTATCACAAGTCGCCAATATATATAACACGTGACCAACTTGTTGACTAAGATTCAACTTATCTATCACCAAAAAACACATATAAAGTGAAATTTGTATCTATGAAGTTTTTAAGAAGCTACTTTATAAGATATCATTAAATTTATTTATTTATATATACTACTTTAATTTATGTAAATATATTTTTTTGTCATACAAGTTAACTATATATTACACATGTTGGCTACTTGTAATATAAGTTGGCTATATATTACACATATTGGCCACTTGTGATACAAATTGGCCATATGAGGTATATATAAGAAACTTGCATAGCAAATTAGATATGTACTTTATAAGTTGGACATGTATTGAAGGTCTTATAGAACATTGTGACATAGCCCCTAATTAAATAATATATACAAAAGCAAGCATAAGGCCTTTCTTACTCTTATCAATTCTTTTCTTGCTTCTAATTTAGCCTTAAGAATATCTAATTTTTCTAATCTCTAGTAATATTCATTTTTTCTTTTGAATTTTTTTTTCATCTCTCTTTTATATATCTCACTTGTTTATTTACAATCTTTGAGTTGTTATCTTTAATACTTGATTTTAAATTAATGCAAATTCAAAAATAGCTAAAATTTAGAATCTATTTTTGAAAGATTCAAATTTTTACTAAGATTCTTATTAAGATCCTAACATAGATAGTTAAAATTCTCATTTGAAAAAAATTATATTAAAAAATTATTATCATTAATATTTTATTTATTATTAAAGTAAAATTATTTTATTTGTAATTAAAAAAATTAAAATTTTAAATAAAGCTTTAAAGATTTGGTCTTTGAACTTAATTCTTATAGAAAAAAATTAATTATGACACTCATTTTTATTATTATTAACTATAATTATCTTCTTTTGGCTTTAAAGTAATAAATCTCTAAAATTTTCTAAAAAATTGCTTGAAAGTTTATCTATTAGTATTACTTTGAGAAAATTTGTTCTATTAAGTATATTTAGTTTTAAGGTTTAAGATTCAAGATTTCATTAAGATTTGTATGATTTATTTGCATACTTCTTTCTTTTAACATCAAATTTATGTATTTCCTTTCTAAGAAAATTATATCACTTACTAGTGCCACTAATTCCATCAATTTTTAGAGGAGCAACTTAAATTAGTTTCTCCCCTAACCACTAAAATTATAATCCTAACTTAGATCCAGTGATCAGTGGATGTTCAAACCTGATTACACAACCACAGTCGAATTTCCCTAATTTTCCTAAGTATCCGTGAAGAAGAGGTTATGAATCAAAACGGGTGTGCAGCAAAATGTGCCCAATACGTACGAAGAATAACTAGTGGAAGCCCTAGCGGAGCACAGTGGGGATACGCCATTGCCTGAGATGTCATTCAATATTGAGTAGGTCAATTTTTCAAAGCAATCATCAAGTTAGAACGTGCTCTGGAATTACCGACAACATCTAGAAAACTACGTTGAAAGTTTCCGAAGCACAGAAGATGAGTTACTCGGTCCTCGACGCCGTGACGACAGATCTTGCAAACCACAAACAGGGCCAAATACAATACAGATACAGCTTCAGATCAACACATGCACAAGGAATGGATCCACAGCAGCCTCTCCTTACCCAATCTAATCGACCCATTGTCACATAATTGCCGTCATCATGCGAATAGTCGTGTGAGTTTTATGCTGTGGGATGCAGATGTTCTCAAGTGGGCAAAAGAGACAGGTACTACTAAACCCTTCGACGAAGAACAACGGGAGAAACACTTTGCGACTTTTTTGTTTGTTTGCTGAGAAGCATCTCTTGAGTGTTGCATTTGACATCCTGAATGTTGTGGTTGGACTGATTTATGTGGTACCCTGCAACCCAGTGTCTAGAATAGAGATTAAACTGACAAATTGTAGCATCTCTTGATGCGAAGTGTGAGCAACTTCTTTACCGTAATAGGAAACAGCAGATGTGAAGGTACCCTAATGCGCGTGCAAAGAGCGCAGCACAAGCCCTCAATCACTGCTATCCACCAGCCAAATCAGCTCCCTTGCTCATGATCGATGAATTCAACAAAGAGCACATTTGACAGTCTCACCAGACAACCTCCAGCTTTCTTACTGAGATGCTTGAGTATATTCTAAGAAATTTACTGCAAGTGTGCGAAATGACTCAACGTACTCGGCAACTGAAAGCCACCAACATGCTGCGAAGTCATTAAAGTGCCATGACATCACTGAAACGAAATTACCTCGACTAAGGCAGGCTGAACAGTCTGGACAGGCCCTTGTCTACACTTTCTTGAAAATCACGCATCCCCCACAAAGTCCCTATTGGATGAATCACAATATTCCACTTTTGAATCCGGAAAGCCGTGACAACTGCTCTTCACCAGTAGAATCTGTTGTTCTGATCCTTTTGCAGCTTCCTGCAGGAAAGAGAGCACCTAGGTGCTGCTGATGAGACCTGTCCTACATGTATGTGGGGCTCGGAGTTGGTGCCGGTTTCCGATTGAAAGTCCGGAAACTAAAATTCGCACGCAGCAATACTCGCACAAAAGTTAGATATCGTGACTGCCAAGTTCAGGGATGAACCTCAATCAGTGCCAACTTGGTCCTCCTGAGAAAAAGTACAAGAGGAACAGTGTCGGGCATACGGGACAGAGGTAAAGTAGCCGACTGGCCCGGACTTGAGGGAGACCTGATGAGCATGCAAGCTGGCTGCAGAAAATCACTGCCGAACATGCACAACTAACCAGTCATCACACATGAATCTGCCACACAACTCAGTACAATCGATTACTTCAACAAGGGCTCCTATCATGGCGCCACGTGATAGTGGTCACGCACCAACTCCGCCAATGCTTCACCAGCGCCTCCAACACAATCGATGCGTGCACACGGTCAAGAAACAAACACGTCGCCGTGTCATTTCGCCACAACATGGAGCTGTCGACATCAAACACACAGTTGGAAATTTGTAATCGCCACTACCAGAGTGCAGACTACTGGTCAATAGTAAAGGTATATGCAACTAATCCTCGACTTAATTTGTGCCGGAATATTTCTGTTACACGAATTTCGTGGTGGTTCCACAGTGAAGGTTAGCAGCTGCTGTGCACTGCGAAACAAAGGGAGACGTTTGAATTGAATGCCAACTGCAAGATGTTACTTACCAAAATCATCACCTGTTTTGGAAGTGTAAAAAATGAGTCAGCCTCGCTGCTCAGTTTCGAAGCAGCCTGCATTAGAACATGACATTGTGAGTGATAGAAAAAGCGTAGCTCCATCACCCAGTTGTCTATCTTCCTCAATAATACCCCTTTTTATTCTCCAACAGTCACATTAAACAAACCCCTTGCAAACCTTCCAGTAGCCCTAGCAATTCTGAATACTAGTGTCATTGTATCATTGCTTATTGTGGAAGTTTTTCGCATTTTTTTTGTCAAATATATATATATATATATATATATATATATATTATTGGTGGCAAAAGAGGTGTCTTATCATTTCTGTGCCGCAAACATATTAGAGTTTCCATGTGTTCCAAGTCAATAAGTTATAAGGAGAATATGCTTCCTTAAAATATTTAGTATTTTTGCAGATACTTTAGTTCCTCTTTACCTATCACACCTTCAGACATGGTCTTTTTTGCAGAAATTTGTAATCAATAAACTAGAAGCTGTTTTGTTTTTGCATCTTTCATGCACAATATTCTTAATTTTATGAGTATTAACTTTTTACATTTTTTATGTTTTATTTT